TTTTGGAATCCTAAAGACTTTTATCGGAAATAAAGGCCCCTCTTAGAGGCTTAAGAGGCAGAGTGACCACAAAGTTGATTTGTTGGATTCTGTGAAGACGTTTGCAGGCTAAAGAGGATATCCCACCCAATTCTAGAAGAATGGGTCTAAGTGGCTCCAGCACGCAACCTCCACCTCAGGGTGAATTGTTTGGAATTAAATGCTGAACATAAATCTTTTGTTGACAAATTACATATGTTTAATTTTTCTTTTGTTTGTTTGAACAAATAAATGTAAAAAAAAAATACTTAAAAGGATCAATCAATTAATTAATTTTATTTATAAGGGACTCTTTCATACTAAAAGCAGCTCTAAGTATCATGAAGTTGAGGTGGTGAGAGAAAACGCAGACGAAGTCCAGGGTGTAGATGAATGATGATGATGAATATTTAATGATGAGAAGCTCACAACAGTCCAGGAACTGGCAAAACGTCAGAAACTGAGGCTAAGCTCATACCGGTAGCAACAGAGCAGCTGGAATTTGTCACAGAATAGAGCTAACGTCGACTCAGGACAAACAGTCCTGAGTCCTGACAACGACTAATTGTACAGACTCTCAGGACTTAACAGTCCAACTGAGTAGACTGACTAAAAGTCAACAACGAACGACATACGACAAGTATCTGACAAAGAACAGGGACAACAGGTGGGCTTAAATACACAGAGGGCAATTAGGGAGACTAGACACACCTCGGAACAATCAAGACGGCACAGAGACTCACAGGGGAAAACAGATCCAGACACAGAAAAACCTCCACAAACAGGAGCCATAATACTGGATGGATAATAAATGACTAAAACTATACGATCACGTAAAAGGTTAAAATAAGATTCATAAATATAAATGTATAGAAAACAAGGAAAATGACAAAACTAACCCTAATCGATTTCTATTTGCTTCTTCTCTTTCCCTCTGTCTGAGCCTCATGGTGCATCTGACCTCTGACCTCAACTCCTCAAACCTGTCCTCCCCTGGACCAGATGATGTCCCTCCTACAAAACCAGCCAATGAAAATGATGGAGAAGATCTGGAGGATCAAGAAGACAAAAAAGACCTCCATCACCTGCAGGGGACAACTGTCGGTCTCCTGTTGGGCATTTGGACTGAAAACTGTGTGAGACTGAGCTTTAACAACCTCGGCTGGTCTGCTGTCCAGTATCAGCGAAGAGGAAGAAAAGCTCTTCTCTCACAGGAGCTGTGAGAGAAAAAGACTCTGAACTGTTGACTCTTGTTTCATCTGTGGACAACATGGACATTTCCTGAGGGACGATCTGGACAACCCAAAGATCCAACGCCAGAACCAGTTGGACTGACAGGAAGCCGGAGGAGAGAGACGGGGGAGGATTTCACTGCAGCAACGCCAAGACCAAGTGGGGGAGAGGGGCGAAAAGGAAGGAACAACCTGAATCCACATCAACCACTGTGAAGGACGACCTGTCTGTAACGTCCATCTAGATCACGACTTTAAATCTGAAGCAGCAGCAAAACTTCCCTCTACCAAGTATCAAGAACTTCAACTGTTGACACCAAAGAGGACAACGTCCAGAGCGACAGCGACTGTAGATGTTTCTGAAAGGATCTCCACTCAAAGGACTATTGCTGGTCCACTGGCGAGTGACCGAAGCGGAGAGTGAAGATTTAGACTTTTCTGACAGGAGGGAACAAATCCTCCTGAGCAGACAGACGATCCGTGTTCCTGCTTCTACGCTTTACCTACTTTCCAGATGGAAAATCTACGCTTTCTTGTTGGGTTTTGAATGGACACTTATCTATACTTTCACTGCACTAATGCAATTTTTTTTGTGGGGTTTCCTAGAAAAAACATGAAATTGGGTAGCTTAATTATGATCATTCATAGTTGTTTGACTCCTAAGGATGTTTAAGAGTTTAGAAATTAATTCTTCTAGACATAAGAGAAGTCAATTTAAAATGAACTTTAATGTGTGTAAAAGACTCGTGTTGTCTCTGCCTGGCAGAGCTTTCCATCCAGAATTGCTTCATGATTGCTACGAACTCTCTGTATTGTGCACAATTCATAAATAAACCTGATTGAGTGATTTTACCTGAATAGTGCTTGGTAAGAGTTTTTTTCCACAACAATGGACAAAAACATTAAAGGCTCTCAAGTAAAAGGCGTGGCAGTTTTAGCTTGTTGGACCCAGGAGCCCATGCTAACATTAGCATATTAGCCTGCGAAGACTTTTATGCGTCATCTTTTTAAAGAAAAATTAACCTGTAACCATATATGCGAGTAGTAAAGGCATACATGACGCATGAAAATATACTGAAGACGAATAACTCACCTTCAAAGAAGCTGTGTCTCTTCCAATAGGAGCTTCCAACACTTTACTGCGCATGCGCACCGCTGAGCTGAAGCATTCACTCCAGTGACAAAAATGGTCAAATCCAGTTTACTCAAAATAACGTAGTCTTGTATTTTTCTCAGGCCAAACATGTACATTACTCACATTACTTGAGTTGAATAAACAATTTAGTGAGACTTGAGTAAAGCATACAAACCTAATTTAAGTAAGAATGGGTATTGCCTTTTACAGTGTTCTAGGTACAGCCAAGATACTGCGCAGAACCCTCAAGTATTTTTTAATTCAAGTGAATTCAATTCAATTCAGTTCAGTTCAATTCAATTCAACAGAACAAGCAATGAGTAACAGAGAG